TTAAAAATCTGGTTAAGATATACTTTATAAGATAATCTTTTATCACATTTTGCCTAGATATCCCCATGTTGCCTCATGTCCAAAAATATCTGAACTCCGTTCAGTATATAGAAGAACTACAGAAGTTTGTGGAAGATGATAATTACAAGTAGGTTGGATCTTCAAAAGTGGTCTGTTTAACTTTTTCCTGTCTTCTACCCTTCCGTCCCCATGTATTTAAACATCTGACTTTTATATCGTATCATACAAATGCCTATTCCAGTTGTGTCTTTACAGTAGCAAAGGTACTTATGTTTTTTTTTTTAATCACTTGATATGATTGAGCCAGTATACAAATACCTCGTCTCTTCTTTTGTTTTAAAGTATTTCAGCTTTCTCAAGTTGTTGAGAGCTGATGTTTGATATTTGATAGTTGTGGTTTGGATTTCTTCCTTTCTATATTGAAACGTTGAATCTTTATGGAAATGTATCTTTATTTATTTTTTTTAAGTTTATTTATTTAGAGAGAGAGTGCGTGTGCATGCATGCAAGCAGGGGAGGAGCAGAGAGAGAGGGAAAGAGGGAGAGAGGAAATCCCACGCAGGCTCCGCATTGACAGAGCCTGATGCTGGGCTCAAACTCAGGAACCAGAAGATCATGACCTGAGCTGAAACCAAGAGTCGGACACTTAATTGACTGAGCCACCCAGGTGCCTGTGGAAAGTTATCTCTTAATAGATTGAAAAACTAATGAAACAGTCCACAAATAGGAAAATTACTCCTTTTTTTAATGGTAATTTTTGACATATCTTTGAATTTGTTTTTAGTTATTTTTGTGGATAGAGAGAATAATTGAACTTTTTTACTTCTGGGTTAGAGATATGTGTCCAACACCACACTTACCCTTTTCTCTATTGTAGCAAGTCCTTCACTAAAGATCTTAAAAAAGCACTTTTAAATACCGTCGTCCGTTTCCTTCTCCTTAACATCCACAGTACTGCCCAAGGTGGGAAGGATCTTTGAATTATTAACCGTTTTTATTTTCAGTGGTATGCTGCATGTAATCATAACTGCCAGTGTTTTTTGTTTCTTTTTTTTCAAAGATGGGAGGATAAAGAGCTTATTTATTTCCCTTGGGGCTTCTGATATTTCGTATGACTTTCTTTGTTAATTTCAAATAAAAAAAATTTTTGCTTAGCCTTATTATGCCAATTATTCCCAAGCTTTCAAATTACCTTTTGTCTTTCACAAATATTTTTTACACATACTTACTTTATAACTTACCAAGGTGAGAGACTAGGCTATTTTTCAATATTAATGCTTTATATAAAAATTTTCTTACAGTGGTCATCAACTTTCTTGTTGCATAAGTTTCAGCAGTTCTTGAAGAGCAGACTTAGTACCAATAAAAGGCTAAAAATTCTGGAAAATAGCTAGAAATAACTTTTCTTTAAAGACTAAATGTATTAAGCTCTAGGTATTATATATTTAACTATATCTATACTAATGTTTAAAAACCGTTATTGCTATCTGTTTCCCCATTTGGTAATATTACCACTTTATATTTCTGTATCAATTTTTATTTTATAACAGATTGTACATAGTAATTCATTTGAAAATATGTGAGGTCACTGAACCTGCTTTTCAAGGCTGGAGTTTTTTCATAAATCTGTTGTCCCGCCCTAAGTTGTGAGCTTCTTCAGTCCGATGGTCTGTATATTGTATTGACCACTATTTCTTCTGTGTCATCTCTAGTCACTGACATAGCATAAAACACTCATGTTTTGTCCAGTGAGGTATGGAAGATTATCTTAAAACTCAAAATATGATTAAGTAGTTATTAAAAATTTCTATACCTGGCTCAGACTTACTAGATTTAAAAGAAGTTAAACTATTTTGGGCACCTGGGTGGCTCAGTTGGTTAAGCGTCCGACTCTTGATCTCGGCTCAGGTCATGATGTCACAGTTCGTGAGTTTGAGCCCCCATCAGGCTCTGCGCTGGCAGCGTGGAGCCTGCTTGGGATTCTGTCTCTCTCCCTCTCTCTGCCCCTCACCCTCTCATGTTTTCTCTTTCTCTGTCTCTCAAAATAAATAAATAAAAACTTTTTAAAAATACAAATAAAAAATAAAAGAAGTTAAACGACTCAGTAGGGGTGAAGTCTAAGAAATTGTTGCAGTTATAGAGGATGGTGAATTGTTATTGACTGCTGTGAAAATAAAATAATAAAGTGTTTATGTAAGCTGATTTTTACTTTGCTAAAAGGATAAAATAGCCCAATAAGCCACTAAGTAGTGTTAAATCTCTGTAAATTGACATAAGATACCTTCATTTTTGTAGGAAAGCTGATACTATTGTACTGATTTTTGTTTTCATGAGTAGCTAGAACCAGAAGAGCCTTCTGATTATATTCATTTTAACAAATATTTACTAAGCTTTTGCCACAGGTGAGTTATTATGCTAGTTGCTAGGATTATAAAAACAAAATCTTATTCTTGCCCTTAAGAAATGCAGTCTAATACAAAACACATCCACAAAACAGATGACTACAAACCACGTCAAACATCACCGTAATAGAGATATGCCCAGGGTGCTGTGGGAATGCAGACATGGGGGGAGACCTAACTCAGCTTTTGAGTGGGAAAAATGAGGAAAAAGGAAACGTGAACAGCTTCAGGAGACGGTTGTCACCTGAGGCTTAATCTTAACAGGGGAGTGGGAGATGTCTCCACATAAAGAGTGAAGAAAGGTGTTCCAGGGGATGGACTGACCAAAGGAATAGAGAGGGAAACTGTTTTTGCTTGGGGGAACAAGTCCCTTGGTGTTGTGTTGTTGGCCTCATATGGCAGACTGAAGAAGATAATTTTTAAAGATGCAGTTCTGATGCATGAACCTACTAATTCAGTGTACTGAAAAACAGCATTTTAAGATAAGAGCTATTAAAATAATTAGAAAAAAATGGTTTTTATGTTGAAAGAGATTTAAATAAAAATGACACCTTGTTTATCCAAAAACCTCTGTTTTTGGCATCTTCATCTATATAGGCAACCAGTATAGATAATACAAATTACGTGCATGTTTTGTTTGTTTGTTTGTTTGTTTGTTGGGGTTGTTTTTGTTTTGGTGTGTAAAAAGTGATTTTATCGAAGCACAGGGACAGGCCCCTTGGGCAGAAAGAGCTGCCACATGCATGTTTTTTAATCAGCATGAAAATCTTTCAAAGTTACTTCATTTTAATACTGAACATATCTATTCTCAGCGAACTAGCAGCACTATTACCGGATGGTGTTTTGATGATGACACAGGCAACTGACACTCTAACCTCACTGCGTGCTTTAAGATGCTTTTTATAGTGCTGAGAGCAATGTGATTCACCCATGGCTTCCTTTCTGTTCCTCTCTTTTGCAGTTCTTTATTAAGAAATTGTAGTTATTTTGTTTACTTCTGTGTCCCCCACCTACTAAACTGTAAGCTTCAGAAGGGCAGGGACACCATGTCTGCCCTTAGTCTCTCTTACATTCAGCGCAAAGAGCACAGTGCCCAACACAAAACAGGTGTTTAATAACTGTTTATCAAATGAATGAATTCATGGGGCGCCTGGGTGGCTCATTCGGTTAGGCGTCCGACTTCGGCTCAGGTCATGATCTCGCGGTCCATGAGTTTGAGCCTCGCGTCAGGCTCTGTGCTGACAGCTCAGAGCCTGGAGCCTGTTTGAGATTCTGTGTCTCCCTCTCTCTCTGACCCTCCCCCGTTCATGCTCTGTCTCTCTCTGTCTCAAAAATAAATAAATGTTAAAAAAAAAAAAATGAATGAATTCAGTACACTCTGTAGCCCAAATAATTAAACTGCTGTGTAAAAAGAAAAAGAGCAGAGAGTTCTGATTAACTGTACATCTATTCAGTGCTGTATTTTACGCTGTCAAACAATTAGAATATAATCATATATAATTCCCTTGTTAGGTAATCAAGTAAATCAGCTAAGAACCTATAATAGATTTATCATGATGAATAGCACTTGTATTCTACAATTTCATTAAAAAAAACAACTCCAGTGGGTAGAATGCTTTTTAAAAATATTAATATTTAGACAAATATTTAGTAATAATAGGCTTTGTGGACTATACCAAAGTGTTTTCTACAACTGCTTTATTATTCTATTTCCTGAAAGTTTCCGTGGATAGGAGTCCTAATCTCTTATTGCTGTGGAACTCAAAACTGGATATATTAACCTAAATGAAACTTAAGTACCAGGTAATAAACTTTGAGTTAGGACAGGGATATACTAGGAATTTTGCAGACAACCTTTTTATTATTGAAGATTTTTTAAGAAGTTGAATTGGTTTTTGGGGGTGTTTTGCAAATTTTCAGTTCTAGAGAAGCCATTAACTCATCCAGCAAAGATTCTAGAAATATTTGCATGATACATTTAGTAACATACATGAAAATTCCTGAATTGAAGTGTCAGGTATCAATATAACCTCAAGTTCTATCACTTTGTAGTCATTCATCAAAAATCTTTAAATACATTGAACCATTTGGCAGTATTGGGGTACTTTGGAAAGATTTTTCTGTTTTTAATTATAACTTGTTAATGTTTTTCCCCTCCCTAATATTTCCTAGAATAACCGTAAGATCAGCTTTTGTATGAAGATGATAAGAAATTTACTACTGAAGATTGCTCTTGAAGAAAAATATATAGTTGAGATTGTTTTATAAAAATGCTTAATTTTTTGTGAGCAAATACATAATCTTAACGTTATTTTGTCAAATGTTAATATTTTATGTGTTTTGTTTCTTTTTAAAATGCAGGCTTTCATTAAAGATAGAACCAGGGACCAGCACACCACGTTCTGCTGCTTCCAGAGAAGATTTAGTAGGTTGGTGCATACTTTTCTCTGATGACTGAATAAAAAATCAGATAACCTAATAAGAAAGAATGTGCTTCAAAGCAAATATACTTAGCACATTTTATAATAGACACAAAAGTTGATTTTTGATATTAAAATATATCACTCTTTTGTTTGTTTTTTTGTTTTTGTTTTTTATTTAAAAAGTTGTTACTTGAGGGGTGCCTGGGTGGCTCAGTTGGTTGCGTGTCCGACTTTGGCTCAGGTCATGATCTCATGGTTTGTGGGCTCGAGCCCTGCATCAGGCTCTGTGCTGAGACCTCAGAGTCTGGAGCCTGCTTCGGATTCTGTGTCTCCCTCTCTCTGCCCCTCCCCTGCTAGTGCTCTGTCTCTCTCTCTCTCTCAAAAATAAATAAACATTTAAAAAAAATTTTTTTTAAAGTTGTTACTTGGAATTTGTAGTAATGTACAAACAAGCCAACTAATCAAGAAAAATAGATAACAAATAAAAAAAAAGATAAGTATTTATGAATATCTCTTCTTTTTATTATTAAGAATACACTGTCCTAGGCAATGAAAGTTGATTACATTAGGCATTTCTGGGGTCTGAGTGGAAAATTTTACTAATTTGAATAATTATAGAGGTCAGTTTTAGTGACTTGACTTTTTAGAAATTTGACTTTAATACTGGGCTACATACTGAAAATACTAAAAAAATAGTCACAGTTCCTTAATTTACTTGTCGCATTGTAATGGGGATAATATATGTATTCCACAGATAATTAAAAATGAAAAATTGGAGATAATTGGCTATTATTTAAGAAATTATTAATAAGCACCTTTTTGTAATTTCAAAGGCAGACTTTGGCCCTAAGCTTCATAATACCGCATCCCCTCAAAGTATTTGGAGGCTGATCTAATAGGATGTGGAGGAAGCAAGGAGACAAGCCATGACAATATCTAGGAGAGGCTTACAAGCAGAGGAAAACATGGCAGTTTAATCTCTTAAATTTGCTTTTGTTTTTATTGTTAAAGTGATATTTCACAAATCTGTGTACTTTTCAAGTTCTATTTTTTTAAATTCCCATAAGCCTGGCGATGTTAATATAGATTAAAATTCCAACTTGAATGCTTGACCTGCCCTGCCCTACACTCTCTCTCTCTAAGAGAAAACTGAAACTAAGAGAAAGAAGCAGTGTGTAAACTGAAATGAGCACTGAGCTACGGGACTCAGAGAGCTGAGTGATTGATTAGTTCAGGCTTTATGTGCAACGTGATATCCTGAGCCTGTCTCTTCTAATTCTTCTTCCTCTGTAAGTGGGGAAAAATGCTTCTACTGCCTGCTTAATGCAATAAAATAGGTAGGAAGTAACAGATTTGATATGTTTTGGATTTTGTGTTTTAAGCAGAAAGTATATATTTTAATGTTCAGTCATTTAAATAGAATTAGCAATATTATTTTATTTAAACCACATTTTAAATTTTCTATCAAGGGATTAAAAAGAAAACACTCTTTTGAAACCATTTGAAAATTTCTCTCTCTCTCTCTCCCTCTCTCTCTCTGTCACACACACACACACACACACACACATTTAATTCTTAGGTCCCGAAGTAGGAGCATCTCCACAAAGTGGAAGAAAAAGCGTGGCAGCTGAAGGAGCCTTGCTACCGCAGACGCCACCATCCCCTCGGAACCTGATTCCCCACGGACATAGGAAGTGCCATAGCTTGGGTTATAAGTCAGCATCTTTAACTTTATCTTTTCAGATTTTTGAATTGTTTCTAGTTGGATTTATTTTCTGGATATTTTATCAGTTAAAATAGTGTCCTGCGTAGTTTTATTTGTATAACAATAGTTTTTTTCTGATTCAGTAAAATATCTTGTTTGCTTAAAAGCATTTAGTTCTTCCTTAATTTGGAAATAAGCTTCTCCCAACAGTGCCTTTACATTTGGGGGAGATAAATGAACTATATTACAGAGCATCATCGTAAATAATATCAGGAAAGCAATATACCATTTTCCTTTTAAATTATCATCTTTGTATCACGACAGTCATTGTTTGTCTTAATCAAAATGAGTCGCCATAAATTAAGGTTTATAAAAATTACTCCTTTTATTCCTAAACATAAAAGGAAACTGGTTTTTTGTTTAACATCATTAACTTTGCAAGACTTTTCTCAAAATGGGGCCCATAGTTCACCTTTACCATGATTTTTGTGAAAATTTAATAGTTATTTTCCAAAAGCAAATGTAAATAAACAATTTTTTAATGGACCTGAGACTTAAGGTGAAATTAAGGTATTGTCTGTTATATAGATAGATAAAGGCCTGGCCTGGTTTCCTAAAATATTTTCCCTAAACTGCTGGTTTGAGGCTTTCATGGTGAAATCTGTGTGTTCATTAGTATGAGAGTTCAGAAGTCAGGTCAGGATAGCAGGTAAGTCTTCTGTGTCCTGACTCTTTATATAAGAGTATCTTTTATATTTTGAACTACCAACAGTAATAAAAGATATGAAAAATATTTCTCTTTGTTTCCAGTTTCATTCATAAAATGAACACAGCAGAGTTTAAGAGTGCAACGTTCCCAAATGCAGGGCCAAGACATCTATTAGATGATAGCGTCATGGAGCCCCATGCACCGTCTCGAGGCCACGCTGAAAGTTCTACTCTTTCTAGTGGAATATCAATAGGTGAGAAATACTTCTCTGGGAGGATTCCAAATTATGTACAATGAGACTTTTAATCAAACTCAGCTGGAAAAAAAGAGTCATTAATCCTATTATACTTAGAGAAAAACTGATAAAAGCAAAGTTAACAATTAGATATAGGATCATATTACTAGTAGCTTCCGAAGTTAATAATTCATGGTGTTTTTAAAAGTGCTTGATGGTTTTGACTCCAAAAGGGAAAGCATTTGAGAAATGGTGGGAAAAGAAGGTAGACTGGTTGAATTGGTTACTTCATGCAGTTTGTAGGAATGAGGAAAGAGAGGCAGTGTTGGTGTACTCCCTGTCTTTTGGATTAAGCAGCTAGTTAGATAGTGGCACTGTTGCCATAGTAGAGAAGACCAGAAGAACGGTCATTTGTAGGTGGTGAAGTATTTGTGAAGGAAGACTGGGTTTGGGGAATTGGGAATTCTGTTTTAGACATGTTTGGTCCACATGGAGTTGTCAGGTAGGTAACTGAATATATGACTTGAGCTCAGTGGGTAAGATTAGGTCTGTAGATACAAGTATAGGAGTTAGCATATTTATAGTATTTCAGGCCACGGGACTGGTTGAGTTCACCAAGGGAGAGAGTGTAAATAAATAAGACATACTAATGTTTAGAGGTCTGATTATTTTTTTTTTAAAAAATGGGCCATCAGAGGAAATATGAAGGAGGGACCAGTGAAGTAGGAATAAAAATCAGGGTGTGGGATCACAAAAGCCCAATAGACAAGTATCTTCAGGAGGAAGGAAGTATCACTGTCAAATGCAAGAAAAAGAAAACATAAGAATGGGAATTGATGAGTGCATTTGGCAAGATAGAAGTCATTGGTGACCTTGATAAGAGTTGCTTCATAGAATAATGTGGGTGGAGTCCTGATTGGAGTAGCCTGGAAAATGAGAGGTGAAGAAATACAGGTAGTTACCATGAAGGGGACTGGAAAATCAGGACCATACTGGAAAGGGAGATGAGGAATTTGTTTTTACTTCCTAAACTTATTTATTTTCTGAATCTTTTAGATGAGCATTATTTCTTTTGATAATTAGAAAAATTTCATAAATACTGATTTATTTTTTTAAAGGAGAAAAATGTCTTCCTCTCTGATTAAGTACCAGGTTGGTCAAGGGCTATGCCAATTGTGAATAGGATCATCTTAGTATTGATGAACAGTCAATAGAAAGAAATCCAAGAAGGAGTTCATTTTCTTAAACATATTGACTTCCTTAACCTTTGAGAGTTCCAAACCTTGTAAACAAAATTGATTTAGAGCTTTCTGGCACCATTCAGTTTTTTAATTCCAAAGTTCCCCCTTTGACAAATGCAAATGATTAAATAGTGACAAAATTCACAAAATACAAGACCGATTAGCCACCTGAAGTACCTCTTTGTTGATACTGTAAGTCGTCTATATGCAGGTATCAACCTCAATCTGAAAAATAATACAGAGAATAATTTTGCAAAAGAGAAAGGAAGAACTTTTTTCCCATTAAAAATTTGTTACACTATGGAATCCGGCATTCCACTTAAATGAAAAAATAATAATTTTTTAAATTACAGCTCTCAAGTATACATATTATTTCACTTTTCCCCCTCATAAGTTTTATAATGAAAATTCTTTAGTTTATTTGTGGCTTTTACTTTCTATAGCTGTTCTTTTTGTTACCACAGGACAATTATTTATCTGGTTATTTTATTCAGTTACAGTTAGTGTCTCAGTTTATAGGCCTTTCTTTTAGAACAGGAAGAGACTATTTTAATTTTTGCCTTTGTGTTTATTTTTTATTAATTCTAAGGCTGTTAAGAGGATAAGCAATAAAGATTGTTACATCCTTGTTTGTAAATTAAGAATGTTAGACATAGTACCTTGCAAGGTTTTTGTTTTAAAACTGTATATTCTGGAAAGAAAGTAAATCTGTAACCCTAGATGGTAGATGTTACACACACACACACACACACACACACACACACATACACACACAATTTATGATTACAAAAGGGTTTTTTCCTTAGCTGTAACTTTAACATATAATATCAATCTGTACCATAGAGGTTTTGAGAAAGTACTGCAGAGAAATTCACCAGTGCTTGGGACAGTGGCCTCTGTGGTCCAGATATCTTAGATAACCTGAAGTGGTCTTGCCTAGCCAAGAGAAGCATATCCACTGTGGACTGGAAAAACATATTTTCTACAAATAAGTCATACTAATTATGATTCAATTTTCAGTCTTTGCCACATAATGTTACAAATCAAAAGATGATCTAGAATACCCTACCGCCACTAACAGAACACTTGCATTTTCTCATCTGACCCTCACAACCAGAAAATTATTTCAGTGCATATTAACTAAGCTCTTCCAAGGAGAGTATATAGCTAGGGCCACTCTAAATACATAGACGAGGTATTAATCCATCACATATAATGCATACCTTTTAGCATTGGAGTTTGAGTCTGTCATGGAACACTGGTATGAAAGTCTGATGGACAGTTTAACTTGATACATATGGGATACATTAATCATCAATTTTATTGAGAGCCAGAATTATCTTTAAAATAACTTTTAAATCAGTGTAAGCTGTTTTTGACTCTCCAGATTTATTCTTCTCAGTTTTTTTCTTTAGCTAATTTAAAACTTTGTATGTTAGCTGCTATTCTGGCCAAAGAGAAAGTTTTTACATTGTTACGGCACCATTGTTATTTCTTTCTTTCTAATTTAGGGATTGCATCCTCTTCTACCTTGCCTCTAAAGGAAGAAGTTGAATTTCATCAAACTTCTTTTTTTTAATGTTTATTTATTTTTGAGAAAGAGAGAAAGAAAGAGAGGAATTTCATTAAGCCTCTTATCCTTAAGGCAATAATGGGTTTTTAAAGGAATACAAAGAGAAGGAAGTATATCGCAAACCTCTTAAGAATTTCACAATTATATTTGTCTTAAATTATGACAAAATTTTGAAATTTTGAAGTTTTATGCTTATGTACATTCTCTGATGGTAGATAATTGTTTATAAACATAATGCATTTGAGCTATAAGTAGACCTGCAAAAGTGTTTTATGCTCTTTGTTATTTTTGGTGGTCTTGTTAACTATATTCCAGTATATTGCAGAATAAGCCTCGCAGCAGTAACACAAGAATGAAGAATTAATTTGTGGATGTTCACCCACAGATAACATGATTATCATTTTATAAGTACAATTAGAAAATTTATTTTTAAAATACAAAACTTAAACTAATTCTGATGTTTAAAATTAGAATAACTTTTGATTTTAGGTAGTAGTGATGGTTCTGAACTAAGTGAAGAGACCTCATGGCCTGCTTTTGAGAGGTAAGAAAAATTGTCCATTTGAACTGCTTTGAGCTGAGTTGGTCTTTCTTAAAAGATCATAAACATTTTTTTTTTTTAATTTTTTTTTCAACGTTTATTTATTTTTGGGACAGAGAGAGACAGAGCATGAACGGGGGAGGGGCAGAGAGAGAGGGAGACACAGAATCGGAAACAGGCTCCAGGCTCCGAGCCATCAGCCCAGAGCCCGACGTGGGGCTCGAACTCCCAGACCGTGAGATCGTGACCTGGCTGAAGTCGGACGCTTAACCGACTGCGCCACCCAGGCGCCCCAAGATCATAAACATTTTAACAGATAAAATTTGTTACATATCTGGAAGGGACTATTTATAAGCTTACAACTGGTGGCAGAAATTAGAAGTTGATATTTAAGTCTGGAATTGAGTCTTAGCTCATAAATATATGTTTATTTGGTGCCTTGACACGAGGATTTGAATTTTAGTACCTTTAAAACAGTAATAACCAATCATACTCACCTTACCTACTTACGTGTTTGAAGTAAAATTATTGCCTTAAATTCTGGTTCATTTCAGTAGTTTTAAGGCATTTAATAGAATGGTCTACTTCATTCTCTGCTACCTTGTCAGGGGCAAAAGGACTTTAGTAAATTTTAAATTATACTATAAGTAAAGCAGCTTAGAGTTTGAGTTTAAATTGTCAGCAACTCAGAGTTTACATACAGCACACAGATTTATGCTGAAATGCTCTAAGTCACGCTCCGTTCTCCTTTCTTTAGGGCTTTAAGTAGTGGAAGTTGTGCTCTTCCTGCAGCAAATCCCATGCTGTATTGATCTGCCAGTATAAGATCTCCTTAAAAATGTAGCCAAACAGCGCAAATAATTTATTTACTAAATATCCATTAGGACTCTTATATTGTCTTTGACCATTTCAGTTCTTCCATTTTCGGATTTATAAGATGCTTGACTCTTGCCAAAATAATTGCCCCCTTTTGTACGTAAACTGGACATCCTAAGTTTCTAAGCAGCAGAGTGTAGTTGAGATTGAATTTAGAGTATGGAGTTGAAAATAGTTACCTAACGCCCTATCAGTCACTTCTTAATAGAAAATAATTTTATTAACTATACATTTGAAATTAAACTATATTGGAACTGGAAAATTATATTCTTGTTCTTGATGAAACTTCGTAACGATTTCTCTCCATTATGTGATTAACATGCTGTTTGTAAACCCAACATTTCAAAGTACTTTTAAGCCTTTCTACTCTACTTGTCAGTGTTATCAACTCTTACTCTTTGCTTTGGGGGGATCTTACCTTGTTTTTGCATACTATTTCTCTTCCAGCTTTTGCATTCAGTCTCTTTATTAAGGTTTGCGTGAAACGAGAAAAACATGAGAGTTGCCTCTGGCATGCTGCCGGTACAAGTCATTTTAGTTCTTTCCCTCTAGGAAGAGCATCATATGTTGGTTATAGAGTATACTGTAATCTTTAGATAAAAAAATATTAATGGAAAAAGTGTTTGTCAGTTTGAATGAGTTATAAGTGAGTGAGTAACCAGGACGGTGTCGTGTTCAGTAATCTGTCCGTCCTCGTCCCAGCAGGTTACTTCTGAAGACTGCATGTAACGATGTTACCTTCACATCTCAAAACAGTATATTTCTTTTATGACACATGTTTTGCTTTGCAGACATTTTCAGCTAAAAAAAAAATCTGTCTTTGCGCCAAGTTTAAATCTGTGGCTCTTGGAACATTTTGAGAGCAAATTAATGCTTCTCAGCAAGATTGAGACGTGGAATAACAAAAAGTAAATAAAGAACGAGGATGTTTAAAATACTGCTTGTAGATAGTGGATTTGAAAATAGTACTCTGAATGTTAAATCACTCTGTGTTCTTATTTACTACAGAGACATCAAGTATGTTGCTGCCTAAGTTGCTAAAGTAATGCTTTTTGCTTTAAATAACATTTCCCAACAGTGCTACTTTTGGCTTTTCCCAGGCAAAGACGTGTTGGTGTTTCTATGTGTGTGTTTATTTCCTTTGTTAAGTATTACATGCCATTTTGGATAAATATGAATTCAAGCCATTTTTATCATTTGTTGGCTTCATCATTTATTTCAGTTGATGTAGAAATAAAATAATGCCTTTATTATCCAGCTCCTCTCCTTTATCAGTTTTTTTGGATTTAATGTAAAGGATAGAGAGGAAAATAAGATGTTTAGGCCACATTAAGTTTACAGCCCACATCGTTTTTAGGTGTCTTCATAGGGACATGTAATAAAAGTGAATTATTTATATAAATCCAGATACCATTTTTGAACTGGAATCGAAGAACTGGAATAGAAACGAAAGGGTTTTCGAAGTATTTTCCAGGTTTTGATAGTATTGGTTATAAATAACTTTCATTATTTTAGCAGATTTATGAAAGCAAATGTATATAAAATGTATAGTATTACTAACACCTGTAAGTATATCTAGAATCAATAGAAGAAAACATTTTTTTTTTAATCTATGCTGCATGCTTAAGAAAGGAGCCACCACATTTAGATTTAGAAAGGATTTAGAAAGCTATATTACAGGAAGAAATTATATTGTTCTAGGTATCAATGATTGTGTGAATAAAAGCATATGTAATATATACAATTTATAATGGAATCCAACAGGAACAGATTATACCATTCTCTCGGCCCGGTGACACGAGTGGCACGAAATGGCTATCGAAGCCACATGAAGGCCAGCAGGTACAATCCCCCTGCATCCAGGGGTCACAGAACTCCCCTCTGGTGGTGGTGATTGGCTTAATGGGTGTAATCTCACAGTATCTCTGTTCTTTCTCAGCTAATTGGTTTATCAGCTAAAAAAATACCCAAGAAAACTTGCTTTCTGAGATTTAATCTACAGAGAAATTTGGACTTCTCTTTCCGATCCACTGAGCTAGTTGCAAAATAATTCCAAGTTGGTAGCCTTGTAACCATACAGGTCTTTCTAATGCTGCTAGTTATTGGATGAGCAATATAAAAATCCACTTATTATTCAAAGGCTACTTACTGTCATAGCATTTACTTTGCTAATAAGTCTCCATTCATTTTATCTTTGTTAAGAATTTTTTAGATAAACTGCAGGTCCAGAATTTAGACAAGTCTATTTCAGTAAATATTTGTTCGTTTCAACTTCCGTTTGTTCAGTGTTTATGTAGTTTTACCAGGTCTCTTTCTGCACCATATTAGCTGCGGAAAGAAATGAGAATTTTAGATTGATTGGGGGCTGGAGGCTAATGGTAACGGGTAATCAGCCACCTCATACTACAACAGAATAGCCAACTTCAAAAGTGAACTTTATATCAATTTGGTGTCTAATCTCTCTGTGTATACCTCCCTGAATATAAACAGCTCTAACATGAAATTTCTAGTGGTCTCTAGGTTTTTAAGTCACTTTGAAGACACCTAAATAATCATAAAGGGATAAACTGGCAAACTGCACAGTTTTTGTCTGTGTTGTAGGAATTCTGCAGATCATGTCAGATCACCAGAGAATGACAGATTAAGTTATTCTTGTTTTAAATATAGGACCTTAAGTCCGTTGGGGAAAGATATTTGAATGTTTGATTATTTTGTGATGGTTTTCTTAAGATATATGAAAAGGAAATCTTGAGTTTTGTAGTTATTCCTTCCTTAGAGAGCTGTTAGGCTATAAGGCTATAACCAAACACTTACACATTGACAGCGTTTAAATGTCATTAAAATTTATCATAGTACGCCAGTTTTTTAAATATGTTGTTATTGCCTGTATTACTTCTCTCATCTACTTTAGAATTAATTTAAGCATGGGTTTTCTTTTCCCTTTCCTCCTTTTTTTGAGTTTCTGCTATTTTTATTTAGAGTTTTGTATGCTTAAATACTTTTAACAAAAAGAATCCTCATCTTTCCTACCAAGACTTAAAATTTCTAATGGGAAAAAAGTTTACAGCAGAGATGCAATGTAGCATGTAAGAAGAAAAAAGTCTTGGGGGTGCCTGTGTGGCTCTGACTCTTGGTTTCTGTTCAGGTCATGATCTCAAAGTTCATGAGTTCAAGCCCTGTATCGGGCTTTGCACTGACAGTGCAGATCCTGCTTGAGATTCTCTCTCCCTCTGCCCCTCCTCTGCTCGCTCTCTCTCTCTCTCTCTCTCTCTCTCTCTCAAAATAAATAAACAAACATTATAAAAAAAGAAGAAAAAGTCTTAAATCCATAATTTAATCTTCACTAAAGTGAATTGCTCTATTCTTTCTAAATTATGCTTGTTCAAATATGTCATAAAGTGTGTTTTTAACCATCTGACTTTAATAACTTCCTGATTAAACTTTTGTGACAGTTTATAAATTTCATATCAGTAAACCTTTGTAATTGTCAGTGTCTTCTTGTTCTGAACACAGTAACAAAGTTTTACCATTAAGAGCGGTTACATTTCATTTAAGTACCTGCTTTGTAACTACTGTACCCAAAAGCTCTTACATGTTCTTTTCTTCATTCCATTGTTACAGTTCCGCAGAATCAGAAGATTTGGCAGTGCATTTATATCCAGGAGCTGTTACTATTCAAGGTGTTCTCAGAAGAAAAACTTTGTTAAAAGAAGGCAAAAAGCCCACAGTAAGATCTTATCTTATATTTTAACACACCTCTAAAAATATGCAAATGTATAGGACCCTAAAAAATATGAAGACAATTGAAGTAAAACCAAATACATGGTTCAACTGAAACAATTTGAAATACACATTTGCCTCACTGTGTTTCTTAATTTAGACTTCAGTTAAATCATTCATTTTAGGGTGTTTACATCAAGGAGCTCCTGTTCCCTCAGTCCCCTAATGTAGTTCTTACACAAAACCATTTCACAGAGAAACTTGAAAGTATATGCTGTTATGAAGTATTTTAGTAATAAGTTTAGGAAAAGAACAGAGAGTAACAACCCTAAAAAATGGGATTCATCTAATTTTGTTTTGTCAGTCCTAACTTGTTTATTTAAATCTTCTGTAATGCAGTTTTGTTTTCCTTCATGAAATGAAACCCAGGTATTAAATGTCCTTCAAACCATAGTTATATTTTTTAAAAAAATGATAACAGTGGCACAGAGCCTTTGTACGTAACCTAGAAGCTTCTTCTTCCCCAACAGCAGCAAGTAGTTGGACTACTAAAGAAAGAGAATTTTGTTTTCTCAGATAATGGTATAATTTATCTAGTTTGGAATTAAAACTTCAACGTATATCCAGACGTAACACTTTTGAAGCTACAAAGGCTTCTTAAAACATAAAAATGGTTTGCATCTAAGCAATCTGATTTTGCTGCCTGTGTTACACAGTAAACCTCAGGCACATATAGTTAGGAAGCTACACTAGGCCAGCTCACAAACTAGGAGTAGCATGTCGGGTAGGATATTACTACACAATTGTGCACCAGATGCTGGAATAGATCAGCAAACAAGATGAGGCCAAGTGCCTGCCTTGTGGGGATGACATTCCAATGAGGACAAATAGAAAGTAAGCCCTTGAAATAAGGTGATGGGATGGCAGATGAGAGGGTGAGGAGAGGTCTCGGCGCAGCGAGGCTTCCACGCTGTCATGGGAATGAAGAAGGCGGGTTAGCCGTGTGAGGATCTCCAGCTCAGGAGGCAAGAAGACCCATGTGGCTGAGGCACGGAAGGTGGAGGAGGCGAAGTCAGAACAGTCAGCGTTGCTTGATGGATGTATTTGATGCGGTGTGTGAGAGAACGTGGAAGTGAAGGTGGTGTCTGGGTTTAGGGCTGAGCTCGATGAATGTTGGGCACGTTTATTGAAATGGGGAAAGTTTTTTCCAAGAGGGGCTGGTCAGTCTTGGCTGAGTTCACTTTATGCATTTAAGTGGAGATGTCAGTTTGGCTGTAAAGAATACAGTTCAAAAGTTCAGCAGAGAGGTGGTGGCCAGAGATAGAGATTTGGGACTTGTTAGCATACAGATGGTATTTGAAGTATGAGACCGGATGAGACAGATTATCTATGAAGAAAACAGGGCAGGGATAGAACTCTGTAACATGTAAAGGTCTGCTGTAAGAAAAGCAGAGAGAACGAAGGAACTGTTAATCAGAGAAGCATAGCAGTTAAAAGTATTTCAAGAAAGGAGTGGCCAGCTGTGTCGGATGTTGCTAAGAGGTTGTGACAAGAACAGAGGCTTTTGGGGCGCCTGGGTGGCGCAGTCGGTTAAGCGTCCGACTTCAGCCAGGTCACGATCTCGCGGTCCGTGAGTTCGAGCCCCGCATCAGGCTCTGGGCTGATGGCTCAGAGCCTGGAGCCTGTTTCCGATTCTGTGTCTCCCTCTCTCTCTGCCCCTCCCCCGTTCATGCTCTGTCTCTCTCGGTCCCAAAAATAAATAAACATTGAAAAAAAAAAAAAATTAAAAAAAAAAAAAAGAACAGAGGCTTTGGGGGCGCCTTGGTGGTTCGGTCAGTTAAGCATCTGACTCTTGGTTTCGGCTCAGGTCACGATCTCACGGCTTTGTGTGTTTGAGCCCCGCATTGGGCTCTGTGCTGGCGGCACAGAGCCTCCTTGAGATTCTCTGTCCCTCTCTTGCTGCCCCTCCCCCACTTGTGCTGTCTCTGTCTCTCTCAAAATAAATAAATAAACTTAAAAATATTAAAAAGAAGAAAAAAAGAACAGAAGCTTTGATAAAATGTCAGTGATCAGTAACCTTGACCGCAGCAGCCTAACTGAAAGTAAGTTGAAGAGAAAATGGGCAAGATGGAAGTGGAGTCAGGAATTAGAGCCACCTTGCAAGAAGTTACAGGAGCAGAGAAATTGGCTGCTATCTAGTGGGGCAGGGAGTGGGGCAGTGGAGGGATTTTCAAAGATGAGAATGCTGTTAAGCCTCATTTGTATAATGATGGTAGAGGGGGAGAAATCAAAAAACAGTGGAGAGGGAGTAAATTACAAAAGCAGGTTTCTTGAGGAAGTGAGAGTAGGAAGCTAGGGTGTGAAAAGAGAGTGGAGTTTCTCCTTTGATAGAAGCAGCATTAACTATTCTGTTGTAGCGAGAAGAAAGGCTAAGTATGTGGGTCTACAAACAGGTGGTTAGTTGGCATTGGCCTGGGAAGATGAGGTAGTCCTCACTAGACTTCAGCTCTTTTCCTCCGAGAAGTGTGCGATGCTGTCATGAGAGGGTGGAGTACTACAGTTTTTAAGAGAAGGAATGAAATCGTTGTCTCCAGAGAAAGAATATAATGACTTGATGGGGTAAAAGTGAAGTGCTATTGATTTCTATTTGAGATTGCTGGTTATAATTTTATCAGTTGGCACAATTATGTGATTTCTCCAGCAATATTCGGTTATTGTAATGTGCCAAGTAATCAGATGGTTAGATTTAAATAGGGCTAGGGCTATATCGGGACAGAGGGATGGTGAGATGCCAGTGTTTGGAAGGGAACGGATATAGTGCTGGACCGTGTGGTCCTGGCTAAATATGGAGAGGGGGAAAGGAGGATACGGGATGGGGAGGCAGTGGCAAGGCTAGATAATGAGCCTGGGTGGCTCAGTTATAAGCATCCGACTTCGGCTCAGGTCATGATCTGACGGTTCGTGAGTTCAGGCCCTCATCAGGCTCACTGCTGTCAGGCTGTCAGCCTGGAGCCCGCTTCGGATCTCTGTTCCTCTCTGCCCTTCCCCACTTGCATTCTCTCTCTCTCTCTCTCTCTCTCTCTCTCTCTCTCAATAAGTAAATAAGAAAGTAGCAGTAGAGTGTGTTCAGTGAAAGTGACGGGAATGTTGGAGATAACGATTTTGGAAGTGATTCGACTCTGAGATTAGGCTAAGGTGGCTGGAGTGCAGTGGAGCTCTTGGTCATCAGCACTAAGAAAGTGAAGAAACTGAGAAACTGGTGGTAGTATATTCATGTGTTTGTCTTTCCAGGTAGCATCATGGACAAAGTATTGGGCAGCTTTGTGTGGGACACAGCTTTTTTACTATGCTGCCAAATCTCTAAAAGCTACAGAAAGAAAACATGTAAGTATTCCTCCTCTAAACTGTTAGCAGAGTTGTGCCTCCTCTCCATGGTTGTAAAGAAAGTAGTCCTAATGGAATGCGGCAAGTTGGTTTTTTTCCACATTCTAATCCAGAAGTTCTTCCGTTCTATTTCTTGTGTGAGTGGTGTGGTAGAATGATTTTACTTAGGGATACCATTCCAAAGAAAGTCTTGGAATAACTTCCATATTTAGAAGTTTCTTTTTTTGAATGCAATTTTTCCATTGAAAGATCAAAAGTGCACATTACCAATATCTATCTTGGAATCAAAACCTTCCCACGCCTGGGTTTCTTGTTCAGAAAATAGTTGACAGTTAATTGCTTTGGAGTCTCAGTTCATAACACGTAAAATGTGAAAAATTGAGACCATCATCTAATGTTCTTTCCACCTCGATTTCTAATGGAGTGATTTTTCCCAACAGTAAAGAAGAACAATGGTTACTATGCTCACTGAAGTCCACTTTCTTGTGCTGCATGTTACTTAGAAGCCTCTCAGTGCTCTTTTCTCAAAATGTAAAGTCGTGCTGTAAATCTTTTCTGCATGCTGTTTTGTTTTTATATGCTAGTGATACAGTCTTTGTAAGGAAGAAATTTTCCATGTTGCATTAATAAAATCCCCTTGAGAAGAATTTTATTTCTAAGTCATGTATTTTGTGGGAAAATTAAGTGGTTTACCATACTGAGGAAAGGTAAGCTACTAAAAAAAAAAAAAAAAAAAAATCAAGTCCTTTTACTACATATAAATTACCCAATGACATTGCATAATTCAGAGAAGCTCTTCTTTATTCTTACGGTTTCAGTTTTTTGCAATTAAACCAGAGGTGTAGAAGAGTACGTTTTTTGGTGTAAATGAATGTTGTAAGTGCATCATCACCTTCTTTCCTGTCAGCCAGACCTACACCTGTCAGTGTCCTGCATTTGGTGTTAATCAGTGCCCTGCTCTGCCTTCGGGTTTAAAGATGTATGTTTCCTTAAACAGTGCATTGCTTCATTTTTTAACTATGCCTGAATGAAATCATGAATTCTGAAGTTCTGGCTTTTTTGCCCACTATTATCTTACAGTTATTTACATATAGTCCTCACATTGAAGTAAAGGACTAATTTTTGTATTTCTGGTCAAAGTGACTAATGCTCATTCACCCACCAGAGTTACACAGACTCGTTCCACCAGAACATTTTGCAGAGTAATTGCTTCTAATTAATACCGCTGTCCTCAAAGGGAGGAAAAAAGGTTGCTGTAGCTAAATGAAGTCCTTTATCTTCAGATGTAGTTAACTCTTCACACAGCCACTGTGAGATGCTTGCCTCAGTTTCACTTAGTTGATGATTATAAAGTAGCTGTTCAAAATTAAATGGGTTTTTTTTCTCTAACTTTAACTAGAAAGAAGCCTAATAAAATTTGCATAGTGGCCTGTAAGGAAATCAAATTGAGTGCCTAGGAAAAGGACTATATTCCTAATCTCTTGATTAAAGCTATTAAGATTAAAAAAGGAATTATAAGAACAACATAGAAGATATAGAGACAGGGTCACATTCATTTTAGACTATCAATTTTAGAAGAGATGTGGCACAGGACTAAAAGCAATGAAGGAAAAACTTTGCAAAATCATTTTCAAACAAAATTAAAATATGAATTGGAAGAAAATATTGGCTATATGTAAGCAATAGATAAAGGATTAAAATCTGTTCTATAAGCACAACACCACCTATGTAGTATTCTTGCCAAAAATGTAACCTGAATCTAATCATGAAGAAACAATCAAATCCAGATTGTGAGACATTTTACAAGACAACTGGCTTGGTAGTTAGAGAATTTGGTAGATGGATGGGGGCGGGGGGACAAGAGGACTGTTACAGGTTAAAAGAGACTGAAGAGTCTGAGAGATAAATGCAGTTGTGTATTTTTGTTGGATCCTGGAAGTGATTTTTTTTTTTTTGAACTACAAAGATCTTAATTGGGACAATTGAAGAAATTTAAATACGAACTTTAAAAACGACGTGTCTGTTAAATTTCTTAGATACTTACGTTGTGGTTATATGGAAATACATTCGTAGAGTATACATGCTAAAATATTTAGGACTCAATATTATGATGTCTGTAGGTCAAAGAGATCAAGCAAATGCCCAAAATGTAGATATGTGGGTAACCACTGACATTCTTTCAACTTCTCTGTAGTTTCAGCCTTTCAAAATTAAAAGCTAGAGGGGGGAAAAAATCACTAATGAAAATAACGCCTGTTCATATGTCTATAAATGCTGAAGGAAGAAATCTGGAAGCCTACAAACCTATATTTTATTACTCTCTATACATCTTTTTTCCTATGAGGAACAGTATAAGCTTGGCAGGGTAGAATAACTGGGGAGAGAGAAGAGGACTCATATGTCTATATTTTTGGATGTTTTAAAATAACATTCACTGTAAAAATATTTTAATGGAAGTTTATTCATTGTAAGAAAAAGTTTTTGCAGGTATGTGTGAACCTATCTCTGTATGGTGCAGAAAGAATAAATATTGTTCAATTAGTTCATTTTTAAAAACCAAGACTGCACCTGAAAAGAAATCTGTAACAAAACTTAAGACCTTCTACAACTTAGAATAAAACAGGAGGAAAGAAAAAGGGAAAGAAGAGATAAATAGAAGATAAATATAAGTGGCTAATAAACATGAAAGGATGATCGACCTCATTAGCTATCAAAAATGTAGATTAAAAAGATGCCCGTTTTTACTTTTAGGCAAAAAGTTTAAAGATTGATAATACAGCATTGGGCATGGTGTAGGGAAACACAGACTGTTATTTGCAGAAATTTAAATTGGTATTGTTTTTGTGGTGGGCAGTCCTAGTCAATATTTAACTTAATGATAACCAGCGATTCCTCATCTGATAATCTGGCCTGTGGAAATCCTTGAACAAGTGCACAAAGATACCTGTAGAAGCATATTCCTGTAGTGTTTATAATAGCAGACATCTATAAACACTCAAAATATTTATCAATAAGGAATTACTGACAAGTGAAAACCACAAGTCAGAGTATACATACGCCCCTGTTTGTACAGATGACCTTTGAACAGCTAGGTTAGGAGCACCTACCCTGGCTCCCTCCCACTCCCGTGCAGTTGAAAATCCAGCTCCCCAAAAACTTAGCTACCAGTAGCCTACTGTTGATCAAAAGCTTTACCAATAACATGAAGAGTTTATTGACATATTTTGTATATTGTATGTGTTCTATGATGTTTTCTTACAATAAAGGAGGCTGGGGGGAAATGTTAATAAAATCATAAGTAAAAAATACACTTACTGTATTGATCCAAGAACTGCATATAAGTGGACCTGCGTGGTTCAAACCCGTGTTGCTCAAGGGTCAAGAGTCAACTGTATATGAAAACCAACAGTATCAAAAAAGTCTTTGGTGAGGCACCCGGGTGGCTCAGTCGGTTAAGCATCTGACCTCAGCTTGGGTTGTGATCTTAACGTTGGTGAGTTCGAGTGCCACGTTGGGCTCTGTGCTGACAGCTCAGAGCCTGGAACCTGCTTCGGATTCTAGGTCACCCTCTCACTTTGCTCTTCCCACACTTACTTTCTCTCTCTCTCTCTCTCTCTCTCGGTCTCTGTCTCTTTCTCTCTCAAAAATAAATAAACATTAAAAAAATAATAAAAAAAAGTCTTTGGTGTAAATGCATAGACAAGGGTCCAGAGGGCTCCACCCTGAACGGTGATGAATTTTGGGGAGTGGGATGAGATTCAGCTGGTGGTCAAGGGGCACTTTTACTCCCTATGCTTTGGCCCTCTATACAAAGAGACTTACATTGCTTGAGTTACTTTTTTTTTAAGGTTAGGAAAAGAACATTGGAAAATCATGCTGTTTGCTTTGACATAAATTATAAGCTGTCAAATCAGCAGTTCTGGAGTATTGCCCATTTCATTTTTGATGGTATTAAAACTTTGTAATTAGCTTTCATTTTTGTAGCACCCATGTCGTTACAAGTAATGTGCTGTGTTCATACTTTTTCCCATTACTTTAAAATTGTGAAACATGTGAAAGGTGTGTGGTGTACATGTACACTTTAAGGAGTAATAAAATGAATGCCTTTATAACTCTCCACCCAGCATAAGAAACAGTCTTAGTGAAACCATCTACATCTTCCCAGAGAGCATCTTCTTCCTTCTGTCCAGCCTGTCACTGTCCTGAATTTACATTCATTACTGCTTTTTTTTTTTTTACTTTACAGATTTCCTTAACACATTTTTTTTTAACTGTACCTGAATAGATTCACATACGTAGTCTGAAGCACTACCTTTTTTGCTTAATACTATATTGTTGAGATTCATCACTGTTGATGCATATAACTGTCACTTTTTTCTTTCCACAATTGAATAGTCTTCCATTTTATGAATCTTACATAATGTATTCATCATTGTACTGTAGATAGATATTTGGATAGTTGCCAGTTTTTTGCCGTATCTAGCAGTGCCACTGTGAATATTTTTGTGTGTATGTTCTCTAGGAATGCAGATGTTCAACTTTACAAGAAAATGCCAAATAGATTTACACACTCACCAGTAGCACAGTGAGGTTGAGGCTCCTCATTGTTAACACAGTACTTGTCAGGCTTTTAAATTTTGGCTAATCTAGTAAATATGAAATGGCACATCATGATTTTAATTTATATACCCCTGATTGCTTAATGAGTTTGAAATTGTTTTCATGTTTATTGGTCATTCATGTGTCTTGTGCAGAATATCTGGGTAAATATTTTGCCTATTGGGTGATAGGTTTTCTAATGAATTGGTGAAAGTTCTTTATATATTCTAGACACTGATCGATTAGTAGTTATGTGTTGCAAGTATCTTCTTCCAGTTTCTAATTTGACTTGTTTTTTCAAACTTTCTTTGGGACGTCTTTTACTGAAGAGTTCTTAATTTTAAAGTAATAAAATTTATCTTTCCCTTTATGGTTAGTACTTTCTGAGTCATGTTTTCAAAATTCTTCTCTAACCTGAGATCATTAAGATATTCTGTATTTTCTACTAATGGATTTAGTTATGCATTGTGCTTTAAAATCATTGATCTACCTGGAATCAGAGACGTGTGTGTGTGTAGGTGTGTGTACGCATGAGGGAGGGAGAGGGGGGAGAGAGAGGTGTGATAAGAAATAAGCATTCATCTTCATGTTTTTTCTGCATGGATAACCAATTTTCCTGGCATTTTTTATTGAACGATTCATTCTTCACCAGTCTGCAGAGCCCACTCTTGTCATATGAGTTTGCATCTCTGTGCCCATCTCTATGCTCTCTTCAACTTCCATTGCCCTGTCCATCCCTGTCCCGGTAGCCCATGGTCTCAAATACTGTAGCTTTATGAGTCTCGATGTTTATCAGGGCAGGTCCTACCTAATTGTTCTCAGGAGTATATTGGCTATTTCTGCTGCTTTGCCCTTGCATATAAATTTTAGAATCAGCTTATCAAGTTCCATGTAAAACCCTATTGAAATTTTTTTTTTAATGTTCTTTATTTTTGAGAGAGCGAGAGACACAGAGTGTGAGCGGGGGAAGGGCAGAGAGAGAGGGAGACGACACAGAATCTGAAGCAGGCTCCAGGCTCCCCAGCTGACAGCACAGAGCCCAACACGGGGCTCAAACCCAGGAACCGTGAGATCATGACCTGAGCCGAAGTCGATGCTTAACCAGCGGAGCCACCCAGGCACCCCAAACCCTATTGAAATTTTTATTGAAATGACACTGAAACTATAGATCAATTTAGGGAGAATCAAATAAGGAAATCTATACAAATCACACCTTTTTCTTCATCTCATGGTATTTCTTCATTGATTTATGGCTTCTTGAATACCTTTGAACTGTTACACTTTCCCGTATGCCTTGTTACATGTATTGCTCTCTTATAAATGACTATTATATTTCTAGTGTATAGAATTACATTTGACTTTCATACTGATCTTTTCCAAGCATCCTTGCTAATCATACTTATTAATTTGGTAGGTTTGAGTGGATTTTCTGTGTCAATATTATCATCTGTGAGTAATGGCAGTTTTATTTCTTCCTTACTTTTACACCTTTTATTTCCTTTTTGTTGTCATATTAAGCTAAGTCTTCAAATTCTGTGTTGAGTGGATGTAGCAATGGTGGGCATCCTTGTCTTGATACCGATTTTGAAATGTTTTTAGAATTTTACCCTTGAGTGTGTGTATTACAGGGTTTTGATTTGGGAATTTTTTTTTTCTTTCCTGCTTTGTTTTGGTTTGGGTTTTATGTAGGTTTTGTTTGTTTGCTTGGTGGATACTCTTCATTGAATTAGAAACTTCTCTTCCATTCCTAGTCTATCACAGACTTGCATTATATTTTACCAGATGGTTTTATTTTGCATCAGCTGAGTTGAGCGTATTTTTTCTTTTTAATCTGTTAATATGGTGATTTGCTTTAATAATTTTTCTATAAATTAAAAAAAGATTTTTCTAAAGTTGAACTAATCTTACTTTCTTGAAATAAACCCAACTTAGTTGCATTAGTTGATTTCTAACATTAAATCAACCTCACATTCCTCGGATAAATCCAGCTTGTCTTATATATCAGCTTTTTATACACCAATGCTTAATATTTTTTCATTTATGTTTATGAATGAGATTAACCTAATTTTCTGTTCCTTTATAATAGCCCTTTTTTCATTACATTTATTTCATGGTATGTATAACTTTAAAAACAAGAATAGAAAAGTAACAAACATGCCAAGAATACCTTTTTTTTGAGAAATACAAGTAAGAATATACTATTAAGAATTGTCTGATAGCATTGCTGACTTAGTAAATCATCAGGTTTAAGATAACAACCCGTATTACATTGTACACGTTAAACTTCCACAGTGTTGTATGTTAATTACATCTCAGTAAAGCTGAGTGAGAAAAGATGACACCTTGATTAAAATGCAGGTATGTTTCCTATAAGCAAGGAGTGAGGGGCAACATAGTAAGGAACAGAAAAAAACAACATAGATGAATTTACCAAACCCAGCAAAAGATCATGCTTTTAGGTAATTGAGACTCAGACAGTTACACTTTGATAAAGAGTTGAAGCTATGAAGAATCTGGAAAGTAGGAGACTACCTAAAGAGGGCATACTTAAATGGAGTTTAGTTGTAAGTAAAAGGCTGTGAGCAGACTTGACCAACATGGAGTCACAAATCTCACCTCTCAGTGGGAGAAACTGAAAATATGCTCACTCTTAAGGTTTGTTTAGGATGAGCCATAAATTTTGTGTTTCCATTAATTATCTGTTTATCTCTCAGTTCAAATCAACATCGAATAAGAATGTATCCGTGGTAGGATGGATGGTGATGATGGCTGATGACCCAGAACACCCAGATCTCTTCTTGCTGACTGACTCTGAGAAAGGTGAATCATTAGAATAACTAGGGTTTAAGGTACTGCGTGTACATAACTTTCAGCTGGCCAAAACCTAGTTTAAGTGGAATACTTGACCAGGAACATGTTTGTATAGTTTTATGTCTTGGAAATATTTCTGTCACATAATGTGTAGTAATGATGCCAATATTTTTAGATATCAGTATCTATTATAAGCATATTTTCTTTGCTACATGGTCATAAACTTGAAATCAAAAGCCCAAGTAATCCCTAGAGAGCTAAGAACCAGGGAGGGAGGGAGGGAAGGAGGGAGTTGGAGAATCTATAGGCCATGATTTGCCATATGTGCAGCACCCCTTCATTTGTACCCTGAAATTATTATTCTTAAGTTCTAAATGTGACAGAGGTTGTCCTCTAAATGATTTTTATTCCATTATTTTTAATTAAATTAATTGGTTGACTCCTATCACTTTCAAAATATGGTTTATAATACTTTGCTTGCAATGTAGAGAGAGACTTAAAAATGAAATTATTGGCTGTTGACTATAGGAGTTTTTCAAGTGGATCTGAGAAGTTAGACAGTGGGACAATTAGAATCCGATCCTACCTCCTGACCCTGTGTGCATCTCTAAGTGGAGACCACAGGCAGCCATCAGAACAGATCTTTACATGATTGCTGCTCTTCCTTCCTAACAACTGCCAGCTCTTGATGAGCACCTCAAAGGAAGCTAGACAGGAAATTCTTTCATATCTGCCCAGAATCTTCCACTGCAGCAACTCACCACTGAAATTATACTTCTTGACTGTACAGTTATATTTTGATGTCTGTTTATTCAGAATGTATTTTACATCAACAGATACTCTGCTTTTAGGATTTTATAGTATTTTAAGTGAAAACTGAAGCAAATATGTTAGATACAGAAAAAAATCATAGTAGCAAAATGTCTCATTTGAGATTCAATAGATTGATTTATAGAGTTAAGGACTCTCTACTCAGTATTCTAAATTCAAAGTCCCTGCCCTACTCCCCAAATCCCAAAGACATTATTCATAAAATTACATTTTAAGATCATTTGCATTGGGTTTACTTAACAAATTCTTTATTTTCTTTCAGTTCCCTTAGTGTAGCTTGATAGAACTATTTCCAAGTTGCCGAGGTTTTTGTGACATCTGAACTAATGGCCTTCTGTTAGGGAGGAGAAAGTAGGTAAACGGCAGCTGTGACCAGCTTAACTGTAGATGTGCCTTCTATTCAGGTTGATCTAACGTCTGCATCTAAATTCAGCAAGTAAAACAGTATTATTGAACATTAAACATTTGGTGAAGAAAAACTGTTGCTTCTGAAAGTGAAAAAGTCCTTTGAGTGTTCAAGTCTCAAAGGAAAGCTCTATCATGGCTAAATAAAGGTCAGGCTCTTGGACCATCGAATGCAATTATAAAGGAAAGAATAGAATTCAGTACGAATTGGGAAATAAAAAGAACTTAGGTCCATGAAAAAAGAGAATAAAGCTCAACTTAGGGCAGGCTTCATTCAGTACATGAATCCTTTCTTTTTTCAGTTTATTACCTTAATATATACGATTATATAAGATATATTTATTATGTGTCAGTCTTGAATTAGCATAAGTTCTAAATACACACAAAATGGATGAATTTCTAATTTTCTAAAAGAGGAAAACCTGGTTTTTCAGATTTTCCCAGCAAGCCCTCAGTAGACCTGGCAATCTGTAATAATTTTGGCAACTGTAACCGAAAACTAAGAGCATAGTTGATATTGATGTTAGGTAATTAATCCCTAATTACAGTAGATACTTGGTGTTTAAGTGTCAAACATGTTAAAGTATTTTGCCTGTAAAAACTTAATATTAACATATTCTTCACTCTCCGCCACACACACACAAATCCAGAGGAGCCAAACAATTCTTTTATTTAGGTACACTTTAAAGAGCATTTAAGGAGACAAAAGTACTTCTCTGCTGATTCATAAACAGCAAAATGGTGGCTTTTGGAATTAACGATAGCATGTGAATGTAGCACTGAGAACTCTTCTTTTTATTTATATCAGAAGATCAGGTGTTCGAGGCACAGAATTCTGAAACTGAGAATTCTAGTCATGTTTTAGTTTGCTCTCTGGTATCTGCCCGAATTATTATATGTCAGAGTCCTTAAAATTTTGTTATTTTCCCCTTGTTTTTGGTAATTTTAGGAAATTCATACAAGTTTCAAGCTGGCAACAGAATGAACGCGATGCTGTGGTTTAAGCACTTGAGTGCAGCCTGCCAGAGCAACAGACAGCAGGTGAGCCGCTCGCCTCCATCCCCATGGTGGGCCCGGACATGGGCCTGTGTTTAACCAGTTCCGAAGGGGAGTAAGGAGACCAGTTTTAAGAATGAAGAGGGAAAACAGTATTGTTTTTATGCTTTTTCTTGTTGTCAGTGGTCAGCAAGATATGAAGTCCACATTTTAGTGAGGAGATAGTCAATAAAAAGTGAACAAAGAGGGGTGCCTGGGTGGCTCAGTTACGCGTCCGACTCTTGATTTCGCATCAGGGCAGGATCTCCCAATTCGTGAGATCAAACCGAGGTTATGCTCTGTGCTGACAATGCAGAGCCTGTTTGGGATTTTCTCTCTTCTCTCTTTCTGCCCTTTTCACTCTCTCTTCTCTCTCTACTCTCTCTCAAAATAAATAAAATTTTTTAAATGTACCAAAAAATGAACAAATAGAATTTGAACTGCTGAAAACTGTATATAGAACTATACAAACTATCTAAAAAATAGTTATGTGATATGGAGAGATGAGAGTAGACACCACTTTATTTTTTTTATTAACTCCTAAAATTATTCATTTGATTTTTTTTTTCCTTTAAATCCAAGTTAGTTAACATATAGTGTCATAATGACTTCAGGAATAGAATTTAGTGATTCATCACTTACATATAACACCCAGTGCTCATCCCAGCAAGTACCCTCCTTAATACCCATCACCCATGTGGCCCATCCCCCACCCAACACCCTGCCAGCAAACCCCCTTTGTTCTCTGTATTTCAGAGTTTCTTATGGTTTGTCTCCCTCTCTGTTTTTGTCTTACTTTTGCTTCCCTTCCCCTATATTCACCTGTTTTGTTACTTAAATTCCACATATGAGTGAGATATGGTATCTGTCTTTCTCTAATTTCACTTAGCATAATACACTCTAGTTCCATCCACATAGTTGCAGATGGCAAGATTTCATTCTTACTGATCGCCGAGTAATATTCCATTATACACACACACACACACACACACACACACACACACACACACACATCACATCACATCACATCTTCTTTATCCATTCATCAGTCAGTGGACATTAGGCTCTTTCCATACTTAGGCTATTGTCAGTAGTGCTGCTATAAACATCGGGGTGCATGTGTCCCTTTGAATCAGCACTCCTGTATTCTTTGGATCAATACCTAGTAGTGCAATTTCTGGGTCGTAGAGTAGTTCTATTTTTAATCTTTTAAGGAACCTCCACACTGTTTTCCAGAGTGACTGCAACAGTTTGCCTTCCCTCCAGCGCAAAAGGGTTACTCTTTTTCCACATCCTCGCTAACACCTGTTGTTGCCTGAGTTATTAATTTTATTTTTTAAATTTTTTTTAAAATGTGTGTTTATTTTTGAGAGAGAGGGAAAGACAGAGCGTGAGCAGGGAAGGAGCAGAGAGCAAGGGAGAGGCAGAATCCTAAGCAGGCTCCAGGCTCTGAGCTGTCAGCAGAGTCCAACACAGGACTCCAAACCACGAACCACAAGAGCATGACCTAAGCTGAAGTTGGAAGCTTAACCAACTGAGCCATCCAAGCCCTCACTGAGTTGTTAATTTAATTTTATTTATTTTTAAAAATTATTTTTAATGTCTATTTATTTTTGAGAGAAAGCCAGACAGACTGTGAGCAGGGGAGGGTCAGAGAGAGAGGGAGACACAGAATCTGAAGCAGGCTCCAGGCTCTGAGCTGTCAGCACAGAGCCCAACATGGGGCTTAAACTTACAAACCAGGAGATCGCAACCTGAGCTGCAGTCGGATGCCAAACAAACTGAGCCACCCAAGTGCCCCCCTGAGTTGTTAATTTTAGCCATCTGACAGGTATGAGGTGGTATCTCACTGTGGTTTTGATTTTATTTCCCTGATGATGCGTGATGTTAAGCATCTTTTCATGTGTCTGTTGACCATCTGGATGTCTTCTTTGGAGAAGTGTCTATTCATGTCTTTTGCCCGTTTCTTCACTGGATTATTTGGTTTTTGGGTGTTGAGTTTGATAAGTTCTTTATAGATTTTGGATACAAACCCTTTATCTGATGTGTCATTTGCAGATATCTTCTCATTCTGTCTGTTGCCTCTTAGTTTTGTTAGTTGTTTCCCTTGCTGTGCAGAGACTTTTTATCTTGATGAGGTCCCAATAGTTCATTTTTGCTTTTGTTTCCCTTGCCTCTGGAGACATGTCAAGTTAAGAAGCTGCTGCAGCCGAGGTCAAAGAGGTTGTTGCCTGTTTTCTCTTCTAGGATTTTGATGGCTTCCTGTCTTGCGTTTAGGTCTTTCATCCATTTTGAGTTTATTTTTGTGTGTGGTGTAAGAAAGTGGTCCAGGTTCATTCTTGTGTATGTTGCTGTCGGTTTTCCCAATACCGTTTGCTGAAGAGACTGTTTTTTCCTTTGGATATTCTTTCCTGCTTTGTCAAAGATTAGTTGACCATATGTTTGTGGGTCCATTTGTGGGTTCTCTATTCTGTTCCATTAATCTGTGTGTCTGTTTTTGTGTCAATACCATACTGTCTTGATGATTACAGTTTTGTAATACAGCTTGAAGTCCAGGATTGTGATGCCTCCAGCTCTGGTTTTCTTTTTCAGGATTGCTTTGGCTATTCAGGGTCTTTTCTCTGGTTCCATACAAATTTTAGGATTGTTCTAGTTCTGTGAAGAATGCCGCTGTTATTTTGACAGGGATTGCATTGAATATGTGGATTGTTTTGTGTAGCGTTGACATTTTAACAATATTTGTTCTTCCAGTCTATAAGCACAGAATGTTTTTTCATTTTTTTTGTGTCTTCCTCAGTTTCTTTCATAGCTTTCTATAGTTTTCAGTGTATAAATTTTTCACCTCTTTGGTAGATTTATTCCTAGGTATTTTATGCTTTTGGTACAGTTGTGAATGAGATTGATTCCTTGATTTCTCTTTCTGCAGCTTCATTATTGTTGTATAGAAATGCAACTGATTTCTGTACATTGACTTTATATCCTGCAACTTTGCTGAATTCATATATCCGTTCTAGCAGTTTTTTGGTGGAGTCTTTTGGGTTTTCCACATACAGTATAACGTCATCTGTGAAGAGTGAAAGTTTGACGTCCTCCTTTCTGATTTGTATGCCTTTTATTTCTTTGTGCTGTCTGATTGCTGAGGCTAGGACTTACAACACTATGTTGAATAACAGTGGTGAGAGTGGACGTCTTTGTCGTGCTCCTGACCTTAGCGGGGAAAGCTCTCAGTTTTTCCCCACTGAGGATGATACTGGCTGTGGGTCTTTCATATATGGCTTTTATGATCTTGAGGGTATGTTCTTTCTATCCCTACTTTCTTGAGAGTTTTTATCAAGAAAGGATGCCATATTTAGATACAACTTTAAATAAGAGCGAGGGGCACCTGGGTAGCTCAGTCGGCTCAGGTCATGATCTCACAGTTCATGAGTTCCAGCCCCCCATCAGGGTCCGTGCTGATAGCTCAGAGCCTGGAGCCTACTTCAGATTCTGTGTCTCCCCGTCTCCCTGCCCCTCCCCAACTCATGCTCTTTCTTTCTCTCAAATATAAATAAACATTAAAAAAAAATTTAAGGGGGGCCTGGGTGGCTCAGTCGGTTGAGCGTCCAACTTCGGCTCAGGTCAGGTCTCGTGGTTCACAAATTTGAGCCCCACATCGGGCTCTGTGCTGACAGTGAAGAGCCTGGATCCTGCTTCAGATTCTCTCTCTCTCTCTCTCTCTCTCTCTCTCTCTCTCTGTCTCTCTCTGCTCCTCCCTGGCTCGTGCTCTAACTCCCTCAAGAGTAAATAATAAGCATAAAAAAAATTTTTTTTAATTTAATAAAGAAAGAATGAGCACAAAGATCTCCCGGAAGACATTGACATGAATAACAAGAAGGAGCAGCCATGTGAAGATTAATGGGAACAGAGGTCTGGTAGAGGGAACAGAAAGTTCAAAGTTCCTGAAACTGAAATGAGCTTAAGATGTTCAAAATAGGCAAATGAGGCCATGTTGGTAGAATATAGTGAGAGGCAAAGGAATATAGCCCCAGAGAGGGTAAATTTAGATGGCACTTTAATAAAAATTACTCTGATTCCTCTTTATTCTATTGACTAGATGCAGGTTCCTATAGTTGTAGTGAAACCCCCCCCCCCCCAAAAAAAACCCATGGGTTTGTTTTTATTTTACTGAAACAAAGGTGGTCTAATTCAGAGGCTGTAGCTGCAAAGAAGGATGAAGCCACGGTGTTGTTTTCCCCAAACCCTGCTGCAGATCTAAAGTTGAACCATGAACTGTTAGAGCAGACATGAAATAAAGATAGCTGCGGTTATGGAAATATGTGTAGATTTTTTTATACACCAGTTTTTAGTTGAGTATATTTGAAGACCATTGACTTAAGGTACCAAAATTCAGAAGTGTTATCTGTAGCTAATTTTGAATAATGTAATACACTATATAAGTTTATATCATTTATAAAAGTATTTTTCACCCTATGCTGTCAGGCCCTAAGTTATTACCCCTTTTTTGATAAAGGAAGAAACTAAGTCTCAGACATGCTAAGTGACCTACACAGGGTCAAACAAGTAAATACCTCTATTCTTTAGATCCAGTCTTTCTAAATTTTGTTAGAATAGGCCTTGTTCTCTTAGTGTTTTCATTTTAGATATATATAGGAAAGACTAAGAGCAGTATTTGATAGCATTTTTAGCACCCTCCATTAAGAAGGAAATGATCTAGAACAAAGATAACCTTCTTGCCTCTGTCAGGTTCGTGTCTGGGACAGAATAAAGGAAACAGACCTCCTTTTGCCTGGACTAAGGTTACGTGCAATGCAGCATAACTTACATTCTTTAAATGTGCTTAAGGTATTAAGTGTCATTTTTTTTAATCTCAGATTTCAAGATTAATCTAGAAAGTGTATGCATAAAGGTTCAATTTCTTTTACTATATTAGTAGACCTTCTAGCTGAAAAAGTCAACCAAATGTGTGTAAATGGGTTTTATTCATTTTTCTCTATACTTGGAAGAATTAGAGTAGCAGAAAATGTATAAATAGAAGCTGTGAAATTTGAAAATTTTTAATAGAAGACTCTGACTCAAATACAACACCTTAAATCACATTCAAGGAACTTAGGAGGAAATGAGCTTATGCTTTATTTAAATATGGGTTTTTTATCACCAGACCTGAGAATTTGTACTTTAAGCACTTTTGAGCATTTGTATTGTAATTTTTTTTTAAGTTTATTGATTTATTTTGAGATAGAGACAGCACAAGCCAGGGGAGGTTCAGAGAGAGAGCTTGAACTCATGAACGTGAGATCATAACCTGAGTCAAAATCATGAGTCAGACGCTTAACCAACTGAGCCACCCAAGTGCCCCTGTATTGTATTTGATTTATAATTCAATTGTAAATGTATTGTTAAGGAATTTTTTCATTCCAAAGATGACACATGTAGGAGACTCGCCCACCTTTTTTTTTTTTTTTTTTGAGTATCCTAGGATTTTCAGGAAAAGATTGCTAAAGTGTGAGAGCTGTTAAGCTGTTTTAAAGGACAGAGAAAGGATCGTTGAAATAGGGGTATCTCTCCCAGCACACTGATAAGAAATAAGAAAACTGATAGTAAAGGTTAAGAGTGTATTTTAACATGGTGAAAACCTCTTTAGTCCTTGACTAGAGGACTCATCAACTGATTTTTAAAAACAACATATATTCCTATTTCGAAGAGTTATTGTGGAATTTCTCCTCATTAAAATGTGGACTTCGTGGCTTGCTGTTGATTTCTGTAAGGAATGAAATTTGATTCCATCCACTCTATAGGCAGCAAACTATTATATAACCTGTTGATTTTTTTTTTTTCAGAGTCACAAAGTGTCAGATCAGAATTTATCTAATGATAAGTTTTATTCTTCCATATGTATTTTCATGATGACTTCACAAAGAAATTCTTTGTAACGTTCATTATAAAATGACCTGTGATTTTAAAATGTGAATGTAGAAACTCATGGTGATACACATAATGAGAAAATAGATGACAACAAGCACATTTGTGTGAGTCTCACCCTACTTGAGCCGAACTTCTTTTCTGATTCATTTTTTTCACTCAGCAAGCATCTGCTGAGCCCCTGTGTTAGACAAGAAAGACACCGTCTCCACCCTTTCTCCTGTTCCAATTTCAGTTTTTTGGAAAGAGAGTATTAACTCAGTGATTTTCTCAAAAATGTTCTAGCATATTTTATTCATTATTCATAAATGATTGCAGTACCTTCTGTCAAATTCCTTTTATAAAGAGATATTTGGGCTTACTTAAAATGACAAGAAAAGATAAGAAATAATACTTTGAAAAACAACTTTTAAATACTATCAGTTTTGTGATGCTTATATTTTTAAGGTTCCTACAAACTTGATGACTTTTGAGTAAAAGCCTAAGAAAGAAGCGAGGTGAACTATTGCCCCTAAGTAAAAGCAAGGAGCTGATGAAAGCGCCAGCTATAACCAGTTCTGTGCCAGGAGGAGCCCAGAGGCTCCGTCTCAGCCTTTGGAGTTCTGAACCAAAAAAGCACTAATTTCAGGGAATGAAGTGAGATATTCCCAGAGAACAAATTGGAGTTACACAACAAACTGCCATGGACCGCGCTTCTTTTCTCCGAACTGACCTGCAGAAACCACTGCCTTAAAAGAATGAAAGGGAAACCAACATGAAACACCAAATAGTGCGTGTGACTCTTCCGGCGGTGCTGTGCTTGGGATAGATCATAGCTGATTTGCATTTCTTTTAACTTTGTACTAATTTTGGAGGGGGGAATCGCCTTTTTTAGAAACACTTTAAAAAGGAAAAACATATTTCTTATGGGTCATGTGAGGGGCTGGTTTTGAACTGAGATGTGAAGATACCCTGCCCAAGTAGGATGCTGCCAGCAGCCTACCTGAAAGGCTGCTTTGGCTTCCAGTAATCTGCAGCCTCACTGGCTTTCCCACAGCAAGAGTTTAGGAATTAGACGTGTTCACAATGTGAGTGGTTGGGGTGTGTTCGGGGTTGGGGGTGGGGTTTGCTTTGAATGAGGGGAGTTTTTTTTAGACACTAAAGTTCTGAAATATAGTACTGTATGGGGAACCTCATTTCCTGCAGGAGGCATAAAGGCTGAGTGTTCCTGTTTCAGACGCTCTTTCAAGTGGGCTCCAGAAAACATGGTTGTTTTTAACTGGGTTTGAAGTTTAGCCTTTTATTTGAATTCATTGTTGGACCACAGATCTGCTTAGGAAAGAACCGTAATCCCAACCTAAACTTTTCTGAGATTTTACAGTAACTACATTTTTTTCAAGTTAATTGAATTAACCCTTCTGCCAGTCACTGGTGATTTTTGTTATCAAGATGATGTATTGATATTTCATCAGAATATTTTCTTTTACAGGGTGTAATGTATACAATGCCAGTTTTTTTTTTATTAGTCATTTTCATTATTTTTGTTAAATAGGAGATTCAGGGTCACATTTGTTTATAAGAGCTTCCACATGTGTATGTGTGTATGTATTTTATTATAAGGCATACGAAATAATTTTAAAAGGGAAAAAGGGGAAAGATTGAGATTCTGGGAATCTTCAGTTTATCAAAACTTTCCTTCTCCCATAACTTTCCTTTATAAAAAACATTTTTCTGAAAACTTACTGTTGGTCCCTGCCATGAAACCATTATTTCATCAGTAGTTGACCAAGCTGTTTTGTGAGAGCTCTTCTACGCGACAGTACATTTAATTTCCAGAATAAATGTTGAATTGCAGAAAGAAAAAAAAGTTCAAAGGTGAACTGCCTTAGAGTTTTAACAAAAAAATGGCACTTGGACAATAGCTATGTGTTAGATGCTGTAAGCTCATGGGGCACTGTGTAACTTAGCAGTGGCCCAGAGTAAGAAATGCTTTTTGACTGATACCTTCCAATAAACTTGTAATACTTTGGGCCTCACATAAAATTTCTTACATTTGCATTCTTAGAGAGTTTTATACTTTTTTTAATCATCAATATTTCACTCTTGAAACTTAAATATTAAATAGAAAATATTGCCCACAGAATAATTAGCTAAAAATCTATCCAAAGGAAAGTAGAAGAGCTTTTGGGAAAGGATATGAACAGTTCAGATATTTTTCTCATATAGCACAGTTAGAAATACCATTATTTCTGGTTTTGTGGAAAGTGACAGAGGCTAGAGAGGGCAAAATGTTGCCTGTGGTAAATGATTTTTCAGTTAACGACCTCCCAGGCTGAACCCACGTCAGGTACATAGAAAGATACCACGTGCATAGCCAACAGTATTACTATATAGACCTTGCACATCTTTCTTTGGTTTTGCATTTTTTAAAAATTCCTTAATTTGTCTATTTCTCTTCAGAAATAAGTGTTTTTAACAGTGTATGTGCTTTTTTAAAATACTGTGGATGAAAACCCTGTGGATTTTTTACTATTATGTTCTCATAAATAAGCTAAAGTAGATATGTTGTAGGTTAACCATATTTGTGGAGATTTGCAACTGAAGTCAGGGCCTGACATCACACAGTTTTGCCAAAGAGAGAGCTAAACTGGAAGACGTGTTTGATATTTTCAGCCCTAAACGTTAAGGGATGCTTGCACAGAGAAAGAGTAGCGTTCAGATGTGGTGAACAGTCCCCGTACAGGATTGTGGCCTCCGGCCGACCGAAACTCTGAACAGAACTGTGCAGTAGAAGTAGCCATTGCTCTTCTGTCTTCAGATTTGTCTGTTCAAAAGATTATACGTTGCTTTTGAGGATTATTTTAGCATTTGAAGCAAATGGAAACCAGTGAAAGCAGGGAATTAAAATAGCATAGGTGAATTTTTGATCTATAATTCACCAAATGATCTAACAATTGAAACAAAGAAAATAGGTCACCAAAATAATATTAAATATTTAGGTAGTTTATTAGTAGAAAGATGAAATTTTTTCCTCTTATTAAGCCTACGCTTAATAAATTAGTAAACGAGTGACTCAAAAGCTTGAGATTTCTATCAATATTACACTCATTTTTTTCTCCTAGCCGAGAACAACTCATTAGAAATTCCATTATAATTTAAATTTAAGCTAGTTTACAATAAGCATAAATATTGGCATATTATACTGCCTGGTGTAGTAGTATATAATACTAGCCAAAATACAATTTGAGGCACATGTAATTTAACAGTTTATTTGAACACGGAAGCTTATTTTTCATACAGAAGTAACATCAGTTTTTAAAATACAACTATAAAAATACCTGCATAATAATGGCCTTCAGAGCACTAGCTTCAGTTTCATGCCCCCTCTGGTTTGGACTTTGCTGTTTTGTTTTCTTTTCTTTTCTTTTTTCCCCAGAGGTATTATTTTTACCGTGATCTTCAAACTATAAGAATTGAAAGAGAACTCATCAAACACACCTTCCTATAGCATTTTCCTCACTATGTAAATATTATTAATTTTATAAACATTACAAAAAGGGATCCCAACAATTTGAGTATTTTTTTTTTTTCTCCCTAGGACTGTGCTTCAATTACAATCTTTTTTTTTTTTTTTTCTTCTGCATAAAAAATGCCATATGACTATTGCACTACCTTCTGTATGGACTGTTATGGTATTGGGTCCCCCGGTATGTCAAGAGTTAGGGTGTTTATAGCTACAGAGTTTTAATAAGTGGCTTTATTCCTCTTCTGGGTGACTTACAAAAGAGCCCAAGGAGCACTATTGTTGCAGAAGGAATGTTTACAGTCTCTAGTGTCTACACTGTGTATTAGTTGACACGGGGGCCCTCGAAGAACAGCCTAGCCTGTCGCTCTCTTGGGGTTACTAGAATTTACCTGGCCAAATGACTTGAGCAGAAGTCTTTTTTTTTTTTTTCTTAAGATTAAATCTGTAAACTATACACCTTTACTGCTGAAAACAAAACTATAAAGCGTCGTATTAATTGGAAATCAATAATAATAGTAGACTTAATCTATTAACTTCTTAAAAGAATATATCCATTGTTGATTTTCTTCTTGTTTTTTGAGGCACGTTCCTTTCCACCCAGTTTTTAAACCAACCCGTTACCTTCTGCAAATGCAGGGTACCAGTGTTGCTTAACAGAAGGTAATTTTTAATAAAAGAAATCTTCTGCTTCAAAGGATCTCTTTTTGAAAATGAAGATGAATTCAGCTGTGCCCCAGTGGAACTATAGTATTGCTGTCACATGGACAAACGATCCAAAGCAAGTGGTGAGGTTTACCTGACTTCTTCGGTGGTCTTTTAGGGTTTGTTTTTATTTTCTCTCTCTTCTTTTATACTGGTTTTTTCAGACATAGTAAATTTATGGTTTTACAGCCAGAGTGATACTCTGTTTTTTCTAAGCTTTGAGAAAAAACATTGTTACTTAATCGCATTGAGGATCATTGTTTTCCATGTGAAGTCAACCTTTTTTAAATGATTTAATAAGTACTCTTTGGTTTTGCTCCCCTAAAAATGGCTTGTGACTAAAGTGACCTTTTTTTTTTTTTCCCCCGTTCCGAGGATTCTAATGAAAGATATGTGCATGCAAATTCTTTCAGGTTATTGAAAGCAATTTCATTATACCAGTATCTCAAGTGGTAGTGTGGGGAAAATTTGGTCAGTGCCTTAACAATTTGAGGACCAATTTTAGGGCATCGAATACGACGATAATCCTCTGCCCTGTTGCTTGTCGGATTTCAGGAGTGTGTGCTATCCTGTGTCCACCAGCTTACTCCTTCTCACAGCAGGTGCAAGACAGTCTGTACACAGGCCTCCAGGCAGTTGCTGTCCTCCTTGGTCTTGATTCTTCTTTAGACGGGCTCCCTCCCTGCCCCTCTCCTGCCAGGGGAGATTAAAATGAAACCTGCCCAAATCAACCTTTAGATGCGCGCTTATAATATGAACAGCTTTGAAGAGCATCCATCCAGCTGAGTTTGGTTTTATTTTGTG